AAGAAGTTCAGTGCGGCGTCCGCTCCTAGTGGGAGACGCAAGAGGGGTGGGCGTAAGAGGAGTAGGGGTGGTGGGGGTGGGGGAGGTGGCGGAGGCGGCGGAGGGAACAGGAGTGGTGGGGGTGGCGGGGGTGGCGTGGGTGGCGGAAGGGGTGGGGGTGGTGGTTGTGGTGGAGCTGGCGGGGATGGTGGCACATGTGTGTCGTTTGGTGGAGCAGCGTTTGGTGGAGCAGCAGGTTGAGGTGGCTGTTTTGCGGGTGGATTGAAGCAGCAGCAGCAGCCATGTTGGCAGGAGACTCCCTCGCTGCAGCAGCTTCGTAAGTGGGTTTCTAAGCGGGGCTCCACCGGCGGTGGTGGTCCTGCTACTGGTCCTTGCCCGTACGTGCGTCGCACTGGCCCTCGGACCGGCGAGGCCTGCGGAAAACTGGGGCACGCTGTTTCTGCCGCCTCGAAGACGTCTTGGTGAGTTTGGTGAGTAGGCCAGGGTCCGTGACTGGTTAGGATTGTTCAGGAATGGTGTTGATATCTTTTAGCTTGATTGGACAAAATTTATGTAGGCATGTATGCCATGTATGCTGCTGCTGAGGGTGACTAATATTCTTGTGTGCCTAGGTCATTTTGTGTAGAGGATGCTAGTGTAGGTGCTTGTGAGACTGATAGCACATGCGCAATCCCTGCACAGGCGTTGCTCACGTTTACGCTGGACTCCGGCGCGACCCGGTGCTTCTTCCGGCACACCACGGGGCACCTGTCCGACCCCACCTCTGGACTGGTCGTTGCGCGCAGCTTCACCGTTCTCCCGTGTCCGGCAGTCCCCTCTGGCTCCCTCACCGGTCTCCACCTCCCCTCGTTTGCTAAGAACTTGGTAAGTTCCGGTCACCTCCAGGACCTTTTGGTCACCACCACGATCCCTGGGGGCGAGCAAGTGGCGATCTGTAAGGACACAGAGACTGGGGACCACCTTGCCACCTTTACACGGAGGCTTGGTTCTGGACTGCACACATTGCACACTGCGTCCGTTCAGGTGGCTGCGTCAGGTCAAGTAGCGGCGTCTTGCTTGTGTCGGTTGCTCACGCACCAGTATCTCCTCTGGCACCACCGTCTTGGTCACCCCTCCCTTCCCCCCCTCCGCATCATGCACTCGCGTCACCTTGTCTCTGGCCTCCCGCAGACCCTGCCCCCGCTCCCCGCCGTCGCTTGCGCCGCTGTGCACTCCCTGCGTCGAGGAGCGTCAGCGCGCTGCTCCTCACTTCTCCTCGTTTTCTCCGACCACTGCTCCTCTTCAGACGCTGCACATGGACGTGCGGGGCCCCGCCCCCGTCCAATGGGCCACGCCGGGAGCGCTACTTTCTGCTGGTTGTCGACGACTTCACGCGCTACACCACGGTGTTTTCCCTACAGCATAAGGGCGACGTCCATTGTGTTTTGATCCTTTGGATCCGCGCTATTTGTCTCCAGTAGCGAGCTCGTTTCTAGCACAACCCCCCGATGCTTCGCCTGCACTCTGACTGTGGGGGTAAGTTTTCCTCCAGTCTCCTTGAGGACCTTTGTTACGAGGAGGGCATCACCCAGTCGTTCATGCTTCAGGCCTCTCCACAACAGAATGGGATCGCTGCGGAGAGTCACTGTACATCGGGAGCTGGACTACGGGGGAAGGCACGGGTTGTGTGAGTGATCGTAGCGTTCCTTGTGTTCTCTAGCTCTTGCGTGTTCACAGGGAAAATCGGCAAGAGTTTCACTAGCAAGAGAATTACACAATGATCACAACAACAATGGCAACAATGACTATTTCAGATGCAAGTGTGCCTAGCATACAGGCAGGTTGACCACCAGCGCAGCAAAGTCGGCGACCTGCCAGCACTGCAAGTCGACGGTGCTCCAACGCGGCAGAGTGGTGGCTTGCCAACGTAGCAAGTCGGCGGCCTGCCAGCGCTGCACCACGGCGGCTGCCAACGTGGCAAGTCGGCTTGCAAGCGTTGCAATCGCAGTTGACAACAGCGCACATGCGCACACCTACTTCGCAGGTATTTGCAGACGGTTGGTGCGACGTGCACCGTCACGTGCACGGCGCAAGTGCCAAGTCGGCCACGTGCCGTTGACTTCACCTGATGAGCCACGTCGACCTCGGGATACCACTCCGAGGTCGGCTTTGCCAGAACCTCCTGGTCGATGGTCGCGCACCCTGCAGAACCTCGTCGCCTTGGTTACTCGGTCGACGGGATAACCACCAAGTCAGTGTCGACTTGGGGGGTAGGAGCCCGCCAACTGCTGTACGTGCTTGTTAACTTGCCCAGGTCGACGGCACCCGCCGGCTACACCAAGCCGGCGTCACCAGGTCGACGAGTCCCATCGTCGACCACCAGTTGAAGTCGGCCGCCGGCTTCCCGTCGTTGACGGCTTCGCCGTGGCCCCGTGCAGGTCGACCAACTCCGTCGATCGGCCTGCACAAGTCGACGTCGGGCACTGCAGACTGTTGGCTGCACCTCCCGCACACCCGACCACAAAGTCGGCTCCGCCCAAGCAAGGACGGGGCCAACTCTCGTTAACAATCGCTGAGCGCCGTATTGGTCTACTCATGGAAGTTGCTCGCAGCTCCATGATCCATCCAGCTGCTCCCCATTTCCTATGACCGTTTGCGGTCCGATACGCAGCTAATTAGCTCAACCTCTGGCCCTGTGTTTCACAGCCAGAGGCCTCACCTAGCCTCCATTGGACGGGGGAGGTGCGTGATGCGTCCTCGTTTCGGGTCTGGGGCTCGCTTTCCCTTGTCCGCGATCCTACCGCGGACAAGCCCTCTCCTCGCACTATTCGCTGCGTCTTCCTTGGCTTTCCCACCGACGCCCCTGACTGGCAGTTTTACTACCCAGCCACCCGTCGCGTCTTTTCCTCCTGTGGTGTCACCTTTGACGAGTCGGTCTGCTACTACCATCTCTACCCCCACCGCAGTTGCCCCGTGCCCCCCACCGGCTCTCGCAGTTGTCCCGTGCCCCCCCGGCTCTCTTCCTGGTACCCAGGTAGACCCCCTACCCCCCCCCTCCTGCTCCCTCAGGTGTGTCGCACGTCACCCCACTACCCTCGGTTGTGCCTTTAGAGCTCTCCTCAGACTCCTCTGGCCCGGCTGAGGGGGGTGACCCTGCTGCTGACGACACAGCGGCCTCTCGCCGCCCGCCACGCTTGGAGACACCTCCGGGTTTTTTGCCTCAGACGTCTTCGCCTCCTCTGCAGCCTGTTGTTGTGGACTCTGAGGGCCCTGGTGCAGTTGGGGGTGGTTGTCAAACTATAATTGTTATAGTTTGTTATTTTAGTCTAGGTGTTTCACTGGGTTATTCTCTAGAGGGTACAACCCATTAGGGTTTCATATATGTTTCCTTGTACTTGTCATTGCTAATCATTCATTCCATAGTTCATATCTTAAAACCCGGGTGTCATATTTTGGCCAACCCAACCTAGCGTAATACATTCGAAAGGTAACCACAACAAAAGTCGCCAAAAAACAGCTGGGTTGGTTTGGGCGGAGGAAACACACCAAAAATAGGGTCAAACTACCTCAGCACCCCCTGGACCCAACAATTTGCAAGAACCACCGTTACGAAGGAAAGCCCGGGGAAAAAAGTGATGTGCGACATCTTTGTCATCGGCGAAAGCACCCCGATGGGAGCAACCGTAATACTACAAAGCAGGAAGAAATATGAGACTTCAATCCCCTTGCCTTCGACTCAGAGGTCCGCATGCACTAGCCACCACCAGGGGCAACTACTAGCTACGTAGCATAGCAATGTGAGACAAACACATGCCCCCTTACTTATATAGCTCCTATTACACATTTGCACGTTTTACGGACGGTCGATCTCTATTGCATAGCGGGTTTCTAGTGCAACGTGCTGACATGCAAGCGCGGGGTTCACCTTCCTACAAGAATCGCGCGCGCTTATTAGGGACCAACAACGTCATTGCAGATTAGGTAAGCAAAATGTACGGTGGGGATGAATACAAGATTCGAATACGTGTAAGTAAACCTATTTCCGCCTACCATATTGCGTACACACTTAGGTTACAGCTTGACTGATGCCACGTTAGAAACTAGCGAGAACCTCGACAACATAGCGCGGGACAAAGGGGGAGGGAGTGCTATGGACAATGCGGAATAGCAGAGCCAGCACGTTGATTGGTGCATACATCCAACTGAGCATGAGTGAAGCGTGCTCAGTGATGAATGCAAAGAAAGATTACGCCAACAATGGATACAAGTGCGGAGTGCTCAAGTGTGGGGGGAATAGAGCCATTCTGATCGGAATGGAATACATAGTGCGGCGTTTGCGGAAAAAAGATGCAGCCTTACTGCGATGGCGCCGTGCGCGCATGAGTATGGAGAGGCAGAAAAGAGGAAGAAATGCAGCCGGGAGAGGAGGGAATGCTGCGATAGGCCTGACGTGACATGCGGCAAGAAACCGGAGGGAAAATGCAGCACCATTGCTGATGAGGATATTCGAAGTGTGACGGGGTGTGATCGGCGGGGGAAAACAAGGGGAATCCAGGCGTGGTTGCATACTCGGAACATGCGTGCGGGGGTGGGAAAATGGATGTGGATGCGCAAAGTTGACGGGGAGGTCCGAGTACTGCAGTGTGGGTAGAAAACACAAGGAAGTGTGGACTGGTTGAATGTAAGAGGTGGGCGTGCGGGCACTTGTAATGCAGAGCGAAAGTATGGTGAGGTACCTTGTTGTTGCATGAGTGGCTGCGTAATCTCAAACAGTGGGGGTGTGAGCAGACAACAGGGGGCTGGTCAGAGTGGTTGCGCGAAGGGAATAGACAAGATGGCACAGTAAGGAGGGAGGATATGGCAGTGGGGAAAGGGAGGATATAGCAGTGGGGGTAGGGAGGATATGGCAGTAGGGAAAGGGAGGATATGGCAATGGGGGTAGGGAGGATATGGCCGTGGGGGTAGGGAGGATATGGCATAGGAGGAAGGGAGGATATGGCTGTGGAGGTAGGGAGGATATATCATAGGTTGGAGGGAGGATATGGGAGTGGGGGAAGGGAAAGGGCATGGCAGTGAGGGCAGGGAGGATATGGTAGTGAGGGTAGGGAGTATATGGCAGAGGGGGAAGGGAGGATATGGCTTTGGGGGCTATAGCAGTGGGGGTAGAGAGGAAATGGCAGTAGGGGAAGGGAGGATACGGCATAGGGGAAAGGGAGGGTATGGCAGTGGGGGAAGGAAAGATATGGCAGTGGGGGAACAGAGGCGCAGTGGGGGAAGGGAGGATATTTCAGCGGGGGGAGGGAAGATATGGCAGAGGAGGAATGGAGGATATGGCTTTGGGGGCTATAGCAGTGGGGGTAGGGAGGAAATGGCAGTAGGGGAAGGGAGGATACGGCAGTGGGGATAGGGAGGATATGGCATAGGTTGAAGGGAGGTTATGGGAGTGGGGGAAGGGAAAGGGCATGGCAGTGGGGGTAGGGGGATATGGCAGTGAGGGTAGGAATGATATGGCAGAGGGGGAAGGGAGGATATGGCTTTGGGGGATATATCGATGGGGGTAGGGAGGAAATGGCAGTAGCGGAAGGGAGGATACGGCATAGGGGAAGGGAGGATATGGGAGTGGGGGGAGGGAGGATATGGCGCAGGGGGAAGGGAGGATATGGCAGTGGGGGTAGGGAGGATATGGCATAGGGGGAAGGGAGGATATGGCAGTGGGGGTAGGGAGGATTTTGCTTAGGGGGAAGGGAGGATATGGTACTAGGGGTAGGGAGGATATGGCATAGGGGGAGGGGAGGATATGGCAGTGGGGGAAGGGAAAGGGCATGGCAGTGGGGGTAGGGAGCTTTGTTGCTTCTCGAAGCATGCAGTGCATAGCCTGTTTTTCACCGCTGCCATTGCCTATCTTCTCATGCACCGTTTCGCCTTGACCTGCGTAGCTTGGCAGCCTGCCTCTAGAGAAGCACATGGCTCATTATCAGTATTTCGCTGCAGCCCTTCCACACATCCTGCCTATTATCTCAGTGCCGCCCCCAGTCAACGGCTTGTTGCTCCCATCCGGTTCATCTCCCCCTCTGACACATCAGGGACGCATTGCATCATCACCCATCCTGTTTCGCGAGTAAAGTCTGGCTGCACCTCTTCAAGTCTTCTTCCCTTTTTCACGCATCGTACATGTCCTCATCATCCTTCGGTCTTAGGTGTCGCTCCTCCTCAGTTGCATGGTTTTCATGCATCTCAGTTCAGTTCCGATCAGATGTCCTAACCCTTAATGAATTGTTAATTCCAGCTGGCCCGATATTACTCGGTGCATTTAGTCCACACCTTCCGTCTAGTCCACGCCATACAGCTTGATAGCTCAATATACCTGCCCTCGTTAGCTCGTTTTGTGTGCTTCTAGTTGATAATGGGAAACAGCAAGGTCGGTTAGGGATAAAAGAACGGCATGTGTGGGCATACACATCCCTTACTCCCAATGATATCACATTCCATCACTTCATCCCGTACTCATCAAACAGATACGCTACGAGTGTCACCATGGACAATGCACCGAGTTCCAGTGAGGGTTGTGCATTGTCCAGCCACTTGGATAGCATTACGAGTAAACATCCACAAAAGATGAAGTCGCTAGGGAGGCCATGATACTCACGGTGATCATTATGCGGTGCGGCCTATCGGCGCTGCTTGGGAGAGAGGCGTCTGGCACCGAGCTGATGCATGTGCTGGTTGATTCTGCACCAGAAGTCGTCGCCAAGCTCGTAGACGCAGCAGCATCAAATGCGCATAACGAGACGATCTGTCGCGTCTTTCTCATATGCTTACCCTTCTTACAAGTAGGCGAGCATGAGCAATGTGTATACATGATCCGATAGTCCTTACCACGTTTTGCTCTTTTATTCAGTCTGTATGGTAGGCGATTGCGATAGTGAAGACATAGTGAGGTCACAAACCAAGTTGCATTTGGATGCACAGCGATCCTTGTTTCGGGTGAGCCAACGTGCAGCCGTTGCGCAACTGCTAGAACTGGAGCCACGATCTTCTGCCAGCTTTGAGTACGAGTTCAAGACGTATCATATCAACGAGCATGGGAAGGTGGTGCCAGACAAGGGGTTTGGCCATGGCCGTCGTGGGCCGGCTTATCGAGAGTTACTTGGATTTGGTATGTAGATTATAATACCAGTTTTAGCTGCACATGCCGTACATTGACTTCGTTATCGTGTTGATAAATGTCCACATAATATCTTTTTCGGCCGTACCTAACCGTCCCAACAGGACCAGTCGCTGACGACGAGCACAGAGAGATCGCCGTTCCTGCTGATGGTGAGGGGGAGGCTAGTGAGGGAATAGCGCGAGTATCGGAGCCTCATCCGGAGAGAGATCGCGGCGCATCTACCAGTACAGCCCCTCGCGACGACAGTCTTGTAAGGTACATCGGCGACATGCTCGTTGCGCATTGCGTTTTGCTCGCACATGCTAGTATGAGAACCCAGTACGCATATGATGAACACATGGCTAACAAAGTTCAACACATTCATCCTATCATCCTCCCACCCCTTTACAGCCCAACTGCAGAGGGGGGGTTGGCGCAACTACCACCAGCGCAGTGAGGTTCTCGTCGTGCGTTGCGTTTTCCTTATCCGTTGTAATATGATTCCCTGCAGTACGTATATGATGAAACTAGAATAACAATGTTCACCTCGTTCATCCTCTCCGCCGCGCTTGGCAGATGACACCGGATGCAGCTATATTCTCACTCAAAGGAGTGGTATGCCTGCTATATCCTATCCATTTCCTTCAGTTTTTTCTTAGCCTGGGTGTAATATGCTGTTAAGCAGCCTCGTGCCGGGGGTCGATGGTACTGCGCGCGTGCAAGGTCAACTAGGCAACAATGAGGGTTGTTTGGGTTTGTGATTCGTGCTCCAGGATTTGCGAGTTCTGGGCAAGGCCCTAAATCCTCTCTTTTACTACCGCGGTTCGTGGGAGCCTTCATTATGGCGGGACTTGGCTTTCAATAGATGAGTGAGGTAAGCAGAACACTTGGTATTAAGTCAATGAGTAAAGAGACATTTCATCGTCACATGCGGCGTCCATACGGATTGTGGGAAGCAATCATTGTGCATGGCGAGGAGTGCATGGCGAGGGTTCGGTGAGACATGCAGTTGCGTCGAAAAGAGGGAGAAGAGTACATATGTGTAGATGGTCGGTGGTCACAGGCTAGGGAAGCGCAGTGGTGTACGGTCACTTTCATGAATCCACGGTCTCGCAAAATACTGTTATGTTGTTACGGTTTCAAAGACGGCAGATGATACGTCATTCACCGCGTTCGAGGGGGTTGCATTTTCGAAAGGTATGCGGATACTAGAGAAGTTTGGGTTCACTTTCACGGGCATTATTTCAGGTGATGGGACGTTAATTAAGAAAGCGTTAGTTGGCACTGGCCTTCACCATCAGGTGGATGTATGGCACAAGTGTCATGCTCTGACGAAGTTGTTTGTAAAAGACTTTGTTGAGGCTCAGTGCAGCGCGATGAAAGTGTCTCAAGCCAAGTCCTGTTCGGAGTTGTGGTTGGTCTCGCGCGAAGAGTTGTGGGAGTGGTTGTCTATGAACAGGAAAACGGGTGATCGCGTGAGCGTGAAGTCATTGAAAAAAACCATGATCAAAGCGGTGTGCGGAAAGTTGGGAACGATTAAGTTCGACGCGAATGCAAAGAGTTGAAAGTGCGGGTGGGTGGAGTTACAGGGGGACAAGAGCGGGTGAAGCGATGGAGGATGTCGGTTTGTGATAGGGAGGATGACGTACAGCAGGATCTGAGGAGCGGGGGAGGAGTGATGAACGAGGAGGTGCAGCAAGGGAGAAGGGGAGGAGTGTTGAACGAGGAGGAGCATGAAAACGAGCCGTGCCATGCGGTCGGGGCGAATGGGGAAGCGGAGGAGGTGGGGGATGTTATCGGGATCAAATGGGCGGATGTTGATACACTTTTTGATTTTGATCCGCATCCCACCCATGACATCTACACCAAATACATCCGCAAGTCAGCCATAGAGCTTTTCGGGGAGGGGTTCTCTGCAGAGGACACAGTCAACACCGCGTTCGTATCTCATGGTAAGTAAATACATAGGGTACTTATTGGTGAGTCTTGTTCGTTTTGTCCATCAAGATGATGAGGGGATCAGAGATGCGAGGGCACCTATTGAGGGAGTGGCGGAGCTTGGAGATGAGAGTGGCTTCCTGCATAATGGGGCCCCGGAAAGTGCGATGGGGAGGAATAGAAAAAGATGGCAGGAGAGGAAGAGTGGAAAACGGTCACGTGCTGAGGATGGAGAGGACGATGGGGGCACATAGTATGTGTCTTTTGTTCAGCGCTTGGGCATTCATTTCCACCATGTGATGCTGCGTTGCGCAACTAAAGCCGATGTTGGTCAACAGGTTACACCTGAGGATGTAGATGCTAAGATGGCGGTGTGTGCCGACCATTACGCAATCATACATGCTCGTTGTGAGCGTGACGGAGTGGTACCACGCTGTGTTATGGAAAGATGGGGGGAGGAAAGTGCTTTATACGAACTGGATTTGGAGGCCCATGTTGCTTTCAAAAAATGGCTTTTAGTCCATTGTGGCCCAAATCAGATGGCAGCATATGTTCGTGGGGCGAGCAATTGGGTCAATGCCGATGAGGAAGGAGAGGAGGGGGTGGAGGCGACGGAGGAGGATGTGGAGACGGCGGTTATGATGGCAGATGCTTTGGGAACGGGGACGGATGAGGAAATATTGTATGGGGAAGAGGAGGAGACAGGTGTGGCGTCCGTCATTGCCGGTGAGGAGGGGACGCCCTGTGTAGGAGCCCATGGATTGTTTGCCGAGGGGGCAACCATTATTTTTCTGTCTACGGCACCACGCGCAGTAATTGGTTAACCCACCATCTCCCCTTTTTCGCCGTCGACTCCTTCTTCGAGCACGTTTGTTTTCACTAGTCCTGGTGGCGTGGCCATTCCTGCCTCGTGGGCGCACACCGGCCCTCGCACCCCGCACCATGGGGCCACGAGCAACGTTTGGTGAAACTTGCCCCTCGGTTAGTGTTGTGTTTTAATCTCGCGAAATTTGATAATTTTCTAATTATAATAATGACGTCATGTGTGTGAACCTTCCTTACGCACTACTTCTCTCCCCACCATAGACGACACATCGCTGCCGGGACGGGGTAAGCGGTCTTTGCGATGATGTGTGCGGCCCATTCAGACGTCCACGAAGAGTACCCTCTCGGTACGAACAATGATTTTGCATTCTGTTCATGCTTCCTCAAGACTTGGTACTAATATTCTCAGAACCTTGCACATTGCCCAATGTATCCTTTCAGATCCTTCCCTCCTGTTCCCCTTTTCCGCCTTCACTTCCTTTTGGTTCCTTTTGATCTCTTACCTTTTCCTGCCTTCGTTCCCAGGCCCGTCCCCCCTCTAAGCCATTTCAAGTCTCTGCTCCCACTTCCTTCTCTTCCGTGGCTGCGCCCATTTTCCAGCAGCGTTCACCGGCGTTCTGGGTGGGCAGCATCGTAGATGAGTGTCTGCACATGTGCCCTCTTTCGTTGGCTTTCTAGCATCTCCGCCGCCCACATTGGACCTGGTGCATGCACCCTATACCCTAAACACACTTTGAACACATTGCTCAATAACAGTTACACCTTGCAGTATGCTTATGCAAGACCAAGATTACCCTCTTAGTACGAACAATGATTTTGCATTCTGTTCATGCTTCCTCAAGACTTGGTACTAATATTCTCAGAACCTTGCACATTGCCCAATGTATCCTTTCAGATCCTTCCCTCCTGTTCCCCTTTTCCGCCTTCACTTCCTTTTGGTTCCTTTGGATCTC